CACAGGTGTAAACGCCAGCATCGTTAACACTTATATCGGAGATTTTTAAAACGTTTTCTCCTTCCAGCCATTCCATCTTGGAGTTGAATTTAATAATTGCATCATCTCTCTTCCAGTAGTACTTTAGTTCCAGTCTTTTATCGAACTCTGCGCGGCAACGAAGGTCGATATTGACGCGTTCCGGAACAATCTTGTCCTCCGGTCGAACTGTAATTCTTGTTCTTTCTGTAGTAAAGAAAATAACAGATTAACCCTTTAACTCCCATGAGTGACCAACACGTAACTTCTCCTCACAATACTGATACAACATCAAGCAGACACGTGATGAGAATAAAGAAAAAAGGTCAATTGGGGGATTACGAGTTGACCCAGTACCAAATTCTTAAAACTAACAACATAAAAATTGTATGGCATACTGTAAGGAGAATTATCATTGAGATCTTGGGATTGACAAGGTTAGATCAACAGAACTAAAATTGCTTCAATTCTTCCTTTGCGCAAAATGAAAATTGGCCATTTTTTCCGCGTTTAATAATTACAGGCTGTTGGCGTCAAGGTTGCCGCAGATACCCCTTTCCAAACTTCCCCTTCAAACTTCCTTAAAATTCTTCCTTAAAACAAAAAAAAACCCTTTTTCCTTCCTATTCGAGTATAGAAAGGCTTCTTACAGCCCTCATTGGAATTAAGGATTGATTGACTACATTTGTATGTAATTCAGCCACCAAACGCGTACCACTCCCCTGCACGCAAATGAAAGCGCGCACAATTCCCACGAAAACACGGTCCTACGGCACTGTGTAGTATACTGTTTTTCTTACCATAAACAGTCGCTACTCCATTATATTCAGCCTTATCCAAGAAGTTCTCGGCTACACAACGATAATCGCCTGCATCATCGTCAGTAACATCATTGATCAACAAGACGCCATCCTTCTGAACTGTGTAGCGCCCGCCTGTTGTGATCTTCGAACCCTTCCTGTACCACTCGAAGGTTGGAGGAGGCGCTGCTTCTGGTTCGCATTTAAGAACGCCTTGACTATTCTTGAACAGGTAAAACGGACCACTAGTTGGGTCAAACGTTGGTTTTTTAGCTGAAAAAACATTGAAAATCACAATCATTTAAATGTATAAATTTCATTTCGAGAACCCTTTGTACCCCTACGCGTGAGTAACATCTAATTTCACTCTGAATCATTCATGTAAGTCATGGGAATGAATGAAATGATCGCCGACTAAAGCTTTTGATTGTTAAACAAATTCTCCTTGTCAGCACCTTAGGAAATGTCAAGAAAACAGTATGGAGAACGTACAGATTGATGTTAGGGTGTAAAAGGTTATAAGACCCAAAAAGGAGTTTGAGTAACTTGGTTTAGAAATGATACAAACAGATTGGTTTACAGTCGAAGCATACGATACAGTCCTCTAATACGAACCGTTTGCTCAATGGTAGTAAAATTCTGAAAATAAAACAAACTGATTTTTTAAAATTATCTTAAGGTAAGAAGACGGACAGAAAATTTTAAGAGGCTATCAACGCTTTGATCCCTGGATGATTAGCATCTAATTTCTCCTCACAATACCACCCATGAATCACGCATTAAGCAGGGTGTGAAATTAACTTTTTTATCTGATAGCCACTTGGCTCCTAAATTCTTCAAAGTGGTAGCCAATTCAAAAAAAGTTGGTCGCCATTTTCAAAGACGAACAAAATCTTTCTTTACGCTGTCAGCGTTCTAGATAGACCCTCCAAAATTAAGTTAGGGAAAAGATCTTTGACGTGCTACAAAGTGGACACTTGGATGGATGATATACAATGTTCAGGCTCATCTAAATCCACGATGGCGTCTAGTTATCGATCGAGATGCATGTGCTACGTTTTGGAAACAAACTTAACGAGGAAGTTTGCCGCGGATTTATCTTTGCAAATCTTTTTAATTCACTGTATCTCTTGGTAAGGTTATGATGAAACGTTCTAGTCGCCAATTTGGCGACTAACTTTCAGGATTTGGTCGCCAAAGTGAAAAATTTAGTCGCATTGGCGCCTGTATTAGGCGCAATTTCACGCCCTGTTAAGGTCATGAGAATAAAGGAAATGATCATAAACTGAAGGAGCTCTTGATTGTTAAACATATTCTCCTTGTCAGCATCTTTCAAAATGTATCCAAAAGAGTCAGGACAATAAGCTACTCACCGCGGATATAAATCCAAGTAGATGACACAATCATACCATGGACGTTTTCTGCAACACACTGGTAAACACCATCTTCCTGCATTCGAGCATTTTCAATCCTCAACTTGTCATTTTCTATTTTGACATTAGTACTGTGGAATTCAAGATAAGATGTGAGTTAACTTTTTTCAAATAATCTCATCACTTCTATACTCGGTCAGTCCACAAATGAGAAAAGTCCAGAAACTGGAGCCAAGCAGAAATGTTACCCAAACTGCAAATTTGCACTAAAAAAAAAAAAAAAACCAACAAACCAAAGAACAAAAAAAAAATTGAGTTTTACCCAAAATGTTCATGTTACAAGGTAAGCATTTTTGTTTGCCAGGGAAGGGAAACCTCTTCACAACACTGATGAGTGATGCACGATTGTGACTACAGTTCTAAACTCTAACTCTTCCCCCACAAAAGGAAGTCACTAACTTGGACGCAATGAATCATAATCAAATAAAACTATAAAAATAAAAGCATCCATTAAAAATGTAACTTTCTGTACCCTCCTGTCTAAGTCAGGTAATTTAGGAGACTTTAAATTTTAAATCAATTTTTAATTTTGGAGAAATTTCCTTAAAAATTAATTTTCCTCTTTAAGAGAATTCACTTTGGTCTGAATGATTGAGCTACAATGCACACAAAACTGTAATGCAGTCCTACAAATTATTTCAGTAACATCCTGTCTGGATCAGGATATTTAGATGATTGTGTTGATTCAATCTAGTGCCCAGGGCCCTCATTTTCTTGAGGTACATTGTACATGTGCACCTCACACATGTGTACCATATGGGGCTTATTTGAAACAGAGCACTTATTAAGGACAAGATACTTGTTCCTTTTTTTTTTGGAGAAACAAAACAATGTGTGAAACGAAGCTTTGATGTTTAATTAAAAAGCAACAGAAGCAGAAACTTTAAGATTAACAAATATACAGTGAGTATTCACACCATAATGGTAGAGAATGTACAGTTGTACTATTACAGTGTTATCTAAGAAACATAATAGGGGTGCTTATTGGAAAAGGGGTGCCTATTGGGATGAAGGTGCTTGCTTAATAGGGGCACCTAGTAGAACAGGGGGCACTTATAAAGGACCAAAAATTCAATCCATGACCCCTCATTCCATAAAGGGGGCACCTATAGGAACAGATGCACTAGCTGAATCATCACAGTGTACAAGAACTCTAAATGTACATATGTAGGAAAGGCTCCTCCTCTATACAGTGCATGCTCGAGTATAAAAGCTCCCAGCCCAGATAGCATTTACTTACTTTGATGACACAATCCTTGTTCCATCTTTATACCATGAGAAAGATGGCACAGGATCAGCATATACATCACAAAGCAACGTCCCGTTTCCTTGAATATCCACCTCTAACTTCTCTGCAGGAGCTTTGAGACGCCAACGTGGAGCAGCTAACCAAAAAAAGGAAAAAAGAGAGTAAAAATCTCTCCATTAGCTTACAGTACTGACAGAAATTTCTTGGTCTTCACCTCAACATTAATAAACCATACCAACACATAACAAAAGAAGCATAAACTGCTAAATGGACACTATTATCAAACATACAGGTCAGCAAATTTGTGACTTCTGCTGCAGAATTTGTTGCAAACTGTTTGACATCCTGCCACTGCCACAAAGATGGTCACAGCTTGTAAAGCTTTTTAAAATATTGAAGAAAGTATGCAAGCTCTCATTGGTCAATGCATGCGCTTAGATGATGCTACTGTAGGTAAACACCTTTGTGACAGCAGGCTCTAATTGGAAGTATTTACCCAAGTATAGGACTTTTTTTCCAAGTGCATTATTATGCTTACCTTGAACTTGCAGCTCTATGTTGTGTTTCAAAGGATTCCCACTGTTCATTTTATTCTCTGCCTCACATGAGTACTGTGGAGATTCGTGTTTGTCTTTCTTTACATCCATGATGGTCAATTGTCGTCCAAAGAACAGGTCTGGAATGTCGTAGTTATTTTCCCCATTTATAATTTGCTGACCATTTTTCTTCCAGGTTATCTTTGGGGCAGGCCTTGAAGTTTTCAAAGATAAAATATTGATTATTAGAAAGACAGAAACAACTCACTGGATACCTAACATCTGATTGTTAATTCTACTCTCTAGCTCTTACACATTTCCGTGAAAACAAGTTCAATCAAGACAACAACATCTACCAGAAATGTTTGAGTATTCTTGTAACCTACACAGAAGAGATTGTATGGTTATTAGAGGAAGAAGTTACATGTTCAATCACTCAAATTTAAAAGGTTAAATTCAGTATGGAAAAGTTATCTGAAGATTACACCTTGGAGAGTACAAAAATTGTGGACAATCTTGGCAGAACAAAATATGGATCTCTGTGGGAAAAGCAGTTCCAGTCATTTAAATTACACTATAGAGCTCTAGATGTCACCAAGAACACAAAAATCCACAAATTACTGCTGCACAATGGCACCACCAGCTTCACCAGCAAAAAAACCTGAGCAGTTAACTATTTACCTCCTAGACCAAGTTTGTAATTCTCCTTACTGTCAGCCTTACAATTCTTATAATGTTAGTTCAGAGAGTTTAGTATTGGATCAACTAATTATCCCAAAATTGATAATTTTCTACATTCTCATCACTTATCTGGTTGATTTTGTATAGATATTGTAAGGAGAAATTCTGTCTTGGTCACTTGTGGGAGTTAAAGGGTTAAAAAGACCTTTAACCCTGAGGTACAGAAAGTGATTTGCAAATCTGTCACAAAAAAAAAACACATTCTACATACCTACATGTAAGTGAGCAAATCACAAAAAATAATTGGAAACAATTGATATCAGAGCCATTGGATTGAAATAGTTTAAAGATCTTTTTCAGAAAACTATCAATAACTACAAATCACCTTCCAAGGGCCAGACAGTAAAGAGTTTTGTTTCTTCCCTCAACAGCTATCTCCGAACTTTTTGACAATGAAGATGGTTCCCAGGAAGGTGCTTTTTCTTGCACAGATCCAGCTAAATATCAAACGTAAGAGAAATAAATGACTGTAGATATAAAAAAAACATAAGCATGAATCACGGATAAAGAAATGAATGTGAAATCCATCTTGGCAGAAATTAACACTACATATTAAGCAGTTACTGAAATGAAAATAAGGCCTGACAAAAATATATTACTTTCACTACTTTATTACTGTGAAGATCACTTCCCTATTCATAAAAGAAATGAATAAAACTACAAACAATAATGATCGACACTAAAACTACAATATATGCCGACAGAATTGGTGATAAAAATAATGACAAAAATGATAATGACAATGATAATATTATTTTAGTGATGTATTCAGTGAATGACTCAGGAATAATTATTCAGAAAAAAAGGAACTCGGAGTGCTATGACTTTAGATTAGTACTTTTGATTGCTTTACCACTGTATTACAGGACACTCAAGGTGGGCTAGGCCATTGCATCTTTTTTTCTCCGAACATGCCTATCTCATTCATATAAATCACCAGGCTTAACATTTATCATGTTCATTTCCATTATGCACATGAAAAATTTTTTAGTTCTCCATCGAAGGAGGAGTATAATCAGAAATTGACCTCCTTCATGAAACACTTAGTCCAGTTCTACCTAATATTATTATGCTATACTCTGTCAGTTTGTGGTGCTTCTGAGTTTGATCTCACACCTGTACAGTATTTTTTTGGATTGCTGCTTTTTAAAAAATATTTATCTGAGCCTGTAAGTATACATAGAATTTTAAAGACGAGATGGCAATATGTATAAGTAAGCTAGTAAGCTATGATTAGTAAGCTGAGCTCTGCACATGCCAGTAGAGCATAGAGAACATTAAAACAAAAAATTAGGAAGACGTTAATATTTTAATAACAATTTTCACCTTGAGGATCCAAAGTCACAAGGCCAGATTCGAAGATAGAATTTGCTGCAACAATGGTACAAGCAATTCCCTTTAATTCTGAGATTTTGTCCACATCAGCTTGAGTTAGAAACATGATATGCAGTGTACCAACTGGGGTTATCGCTATATGTTCAGCTCTGTTAAGCTGAATGTTGTCTTTATTTGCCCAGGTATATGAAGCACCATAACTTCCACCATGTGGTGGGCAATCAATTTTCAAAGGATCTCCGAGAGTCACTTGCAATGGGATGGGGTCTTTATTAGCAAAATCATCAACATCTAAAGGAAAGGAAGAGTGCTATCATTAACTGTCAAACAACTCCACAAAGTACGTGTAGAGCTGAACATTTGAGTACACATTCACACTTGTTCAAGAATATGTCACTTTTCTCAACAATTTCTGTGTGGTGATGAGGAACCAAAAAAAAAATAGGCTTGATTTTTTGAAAAACAAGAACCAAAGCAAACACAGTATTCAATCAGAGCAAAGGTCGACATAAGAACTCCAAGAAACAACAGGCAAACTGCATGATATGAAGGAAAATGTGAGTCTTAAAATACCAATCATTTTCAGTTTTAAATCTGATACCAGCTGCCACAAACTTTCCCAAATTCTGATCAGAGGGTTTTTACTCCTGCTTTAAATATTTTCATG